GGCTGGTTCCCTGGCTGGATCCTGGTTTTAGTGGGATGAAACCTGATGTGGCATGGAGTGGAAGAGCTGGGCCCTCTGAGAGAGCCCTTGATATTGCCCTTATGGAGGGGGAGAAAGGACTTGGAGAAGGTCCACCTTAATGTAGGATGAAAAAGCAAATTTCCAGCAGGAGAACAGAGATGCTGCTCTGTTACTATGGTTACCCCCGAGACAACCCAGCATCCCTGGGTGTTGCCCTGGGGTACCCGAGCTCCTCCCGGACACCTGGAACAGCACTGGGGCAACTCGGGTGGGCAAGGGACCGAATTTGAGGGGTCTGCAGGGACTGAGGCTCTTGGAGCAGCCTGGAGAGAGGATTAATCCAGGGTGAATGGAGAAGCAGCACCTCCAGTGGGGCCAGGGCAAAGTTCCTTGCCTTCATCCCTCTGAGATGAGGTCCTGGTGGGAATGCAGAGTTCCCAGCCCCTCTGCCCACTCTCTGCCTCTTGATGACTGACTGGCTCAGCCAGATTTCAATGGGTTTCAGCAAAACCCACCCAAGCTGATGAAAAGACACCGTGCCTTTGGGGAGGCCAAAAACCTCTGCAAGGGCACAGAGAGATGCCCTGATCCCCCGAATCCAAAGGGAAGAGGCAGGAGGGCAGTCAGTGAGGGCTGGTGCTGAGTTCAGAGAGGGTTTTAGCCCTTAAAGACATCTTGAATATTAAAAGTGGAGATTTCCAGCTAAGAAACAGCCCCAGACTTATTACACTGGTGCCCATCCTTGCTGAAAACTTCCCAGCCAGTCCTGTGAGGTGCGAGCAAGGTGATTTCCCTCAGAGCCACCCATCCCTGCTGCTCCCACCCCTCAGCTCAGCTCCCGAAGATGAGGATGCTTGCCTTGGGAATCAAGCAAGGACCAAACACCCCGGCAGCACATTTCCCGTGGTGCCAGCATCAGCTCAGCTCCCTGGGGATTTCTGTGCAAGCAGCCGCTGAGGGAGGAATTCTGGAGGCTGTGGGAAGCGTCCCCAGGGAGCTGCCGGCTCCTGAATCATGAAAAGCTTCCACAGATGAGGCGCTGGGGTTTGTAGTGCAAGCGGCTGCGAGGAGTCACTGCCGCGTGGCAAAGCAAACCCTGGAGGCACGGGAGCCGTGGGAAGCTGCTGCACGGGCCCGTCCCCAGGAGAGATGCTGGCAGGGCTCTGCCAGAGCATCCCCCACCTCCTCCCTGGCATTTTCCTTCCCGACACCCAGCTCCAGTGGTTTGGAGTGGAGTTTTTCCCATCTCCTCTCCTCCCTGCCTGTAACAGGCCATTACCATCGCTGAGAACCCCAGCTCCTCTCCTCAGCAAGAGAAAAAGCTTCCAGAAAAGCATCTGGTCCAGATTTAAAGGCATTAAGAGACAGAGATTGGTGGCTTGTTCTAATAGCTAATCATTATTAAAAGATCGCTCCTTATTTCCAAGATAGATTTGTCTGGCTCCAGCTTCCAGGAAGAGGTGGTTATTATGCCTCTCCCTGCTAGATTAAGTTACCTCTTTGTACCAGTGTATCCTCCCCGTGACAAATGCTGTAATCAAGTCACCTCTCAGTCTCCCCCTTTGCTAAATTAAACGGGCTTTGCTCTTAAATCTTGCTTAGCCCCCTCTGTAGTGATTAGAGGGAGTGGCTGGTGGGGATTTTTTTAATGAATAAAAAACTTCCTTATGGAGAAAGGGATGGAGCTGATGGGACCCAACAGACCATTACTGGTGGGTGGAAATGATCAGCCACCGGTCACCTGAACTGGATTCAGCCTGTGCCCAGCCTGAGGAACGGTGATGGATAATTTCCCCAGGTTATCTCAGTACACGAGCCCCGTTTCCTGTGACAGCCAGGTGTGAAAGCCAGGAGGAAAATCCAGGATGGCAAATCCAGGGGCTCTGTGTGCAGCAGGCCATTAACCTCTCTGTAAATAGCATCTCACACACTGCCTGCGCTTTCCTCCAGCCGTGACCATTAAAGACATTCAAACTGTCCCCTGGACGTGGCGTGCTGTCCCCTGAGCTCCCCACAGGAGGCAATGCCCATAGGAAACAATCCTCCAGGGCTCAAGGGGACCAAGGTCACTCGGGGAAGATTTGTTGAGTCGGTTTTGGATGGCTGGGCTCATCCTGCCTGGGCTCCAGACACATTTTCCCATCTCCGGGCTCCCTGCATGGCTGAGCTCCATCCCTGTGGGCAGAGCACTGGAGCGAGTGGTACCCAGGGAGGGGATGCATTTGGGGGGTTCTGCAGAGCCCCCCCGTGATTCTGAGCGTTCCTGCAGCAGGGAGGAAAATTAGCCTCTCAAAAAAAATTCAGATGTGTGTTTTCTGCTCCTGCCTAAAGGCAACAGGATGGATATTTTGCTGAAAGGCTCTTAAAAATAATCTCTCTTTGCCGTGCTGGCCCCAGGCTTGCTCAAAGTTTGCTCCACATATCCTGTGTGTGTGACAACTGACAGACTTGGAAACACGTTGGAAGTTGGCTACAGGCAGACACTTCACTATGATCTTTAAAATATACAGCATGACGCGAGATATTTTAAATAGATCAAAATACATTTATTACATATTTATATTATTTTCTCTAGTCTATTTATATCTTTTGGAGACTCTTATATATAATATATATAATATATTTAAAATAACATAAAATTGGCCAGTTCTGTCATCTGAAATACATTTTACAAATATATATATACATTGTCACATATATCTCAAATATATGTGCAATGAGACAGAGAAACACCGGAGGTGGAAAAGGTACAGATACTTCATTGCATCCCTCAGCTTCTCTACCACCATTGCCCCAGCGAACAGACTCAGAGTTTTATCCCTGGGAAACCAGTGCTCCCAGTTGCCAACCTGCCCTGTGAACTGGTACCGGGTGTCTGTCCCCAAAGCCACGTGGGGCCAAGCCTGGGGGAGCACTGGGGTGTGTTTGGGGGGGAGATGAAGGGGAGAAGGTGCCCTGGGAGTGGGCAGCAGGACAGATGTGCACAGCTGGCGGGCGAGGGGATGGGTGGCATCGGGTTGGGCGCTGTCCCACGTCCTGTCCCTGCTCCTGATGCATCTGGATCCTGCCCTGTGCCAACCCCCCCCCCCCGTGGCAGCATTCCTGAATTGGGGGGGGGGTGGGAGAGCAGGATGTGTGGCCACAGCTGCCACAAGCTCGTTTCTGTGTGCAAGAGATGGGAGGGGACACACACACACACACACACACACACACACACACACACACACACACAGGGGGCTCTTTTGGTTGTCAGCACGAGAGGAAAGGGAAGAGCAGGAGGGTTTAAAAATAAACCTATTTGTTCTGCCTTATTAAAGATAGAAAAGGTGGCTCTGAAATCATCTCCTACAAAAGGTTTGAAGGTCAAGCAGGCACCGAATCGCGAAAGGTTGAGCACTAAGTGATTGTCCCAGCCCTAAAAGACAAAGTGCACTAAATTCGGTGATGAGAAGCTAAGGCTCGTCCCGATGGCTGAGTGAGGACCCCCAGGGCACGGGATGCTCTTCCCGGAGGGGGATTTGGGGCGCGGGGATGCGGCCGCTTTCTGCCCTCTCTGGGGAGTTGTTTAGGGTGAGGCCAAGCTGGAGCAGCAGCCCCAAGCCCGGTTTGGGGAGCTCTGCCACGAACCCCGGGCCGGGCAATCCCTGCGGGATGTGGCCAGGGGGATTCGCGGCTCTCTCCTCCCTGCATCCTCCAAGGATCAAGCGTGACGCTGGAGGGAACTCCAGGGATGGATTTGGCTTGCTGGAGGAAATGGCCGGCGGCTGGTTTATTTTGGGGTGGGGGACATTTCACCTTGCTCGTCTCCAAGCCCCTTCCCACAGGGATTCCACTCCACAGAAACCCACACCCCCAAAGCATCCCTGTGCCTTCCCAGCCCCCTAAGGAAACCCAAGTGCTGAACTTGGGCTTTTCCCACCCTTTCTTTGTTTTCTTTTTTACCCCTTCCTTTGACAGTTGATGGGATTTAAGCTATGGCTGGGCAGCCTTCCCGATGCTCCCTGGTGGTAGGAGAAAAAACCAGTAGCTCTGAGCTCTCACAGGTAGGCAAAAATCATATTTATACACTATGTACCAGCATGGTCCGTGGTCAGGACAAGGACTATACAGTAGATATAGGACATCTCACCAGGGCTACACCCTCACTAGCAGGGTTTGGGGCAGGGTTTGTGTGAACAGGGGCCAGGGAAGGTCTGGAATCCCCTCACTGTGGCAGCCACAGGCGCTCCCTGTCCCAGTTCACATCCTCCTACACAGCAGTTTAAAAATACATCTGTATATATTATTCTATTCTCCCAGGTAACACTGTACAATCATAGAAGTTTCTTTAAAAGCAATAATTTACTTAAAGACATCTCTATTTCTCTTTTGTTTTTATACAAATATTTACTGTGATATATATATATATATATATATATATAAAGAAGTTAACCCTCTGAGAACTCTACAGCAGCAAGATGTGCACCTTTTATTTTTTAAAATAATTATTATTTATTCAAAAGAACCTAAAACCACTTAAAAGCATTTGTTTTAAAAAAATAAATAAGTAGTGCTCACACAAAATCTCTCTGCCCCCCCCCCCTCCATCCTTCCCACCCCCCAGATGCTGTGGTGCAAAAAAGCAAGGGGTAAAAGCATCCCCCCAGGAGCAAAGGGATTGGAGATGGGATGGCATCCGCCTTCACTGCCTTAGAAACATGAATGTCATGGCTGGAGCTCAATGGCACGTCCCTATGTGTCCCCACTTTCGGGGACAATGCATTTGGGGCACTCAGTGCTGAAAAAGCTGCCTCCCAGTGCTGCCCCTGGAGAAGGTCTTCTCCCAGTGGTTTTTAGAGGAAGGCAAAACCAGAGCAGCCCCTTGGTGGGCAGTGTGGGGTGATGGTGACAGACCCTGGTGGGGAGAAGCTCTGCAGGGATGATGTCCCTGTCCCCAGCACGGTGCTCGGTGGCACAGGGCAGTGGGACACTTGGGGCAGCCCTTCCCCAGAGCCCTTGGCAAGAAGAAGATGGGGATGGAGACACAGGACAAATCCTGCTTTTGCCACCCATGTTTGGACACACCACAGCAAGTCCTGACCCCAAGACACAGCTTCCCTGGTGTGGGCTGTGGGGGGAAAAGCACCGGGAGCCCTTCACAGCCAAAATGCTGTGGAGGACCTCGCTGTTGAGCCCTCTCCCCAAGGGCTCCATGCTCAGGGTCAGCTGAGGGATGCCCGTGGGTACGAAGCCTTTCCCGTGGCCTCAGGGAGCAGGGAGCCACATTTTGGCTCCCAGAGCACCAACGAGCAGCACAGCCAGACGAAGGGACCCACAAAGCTGCACCTGCCTGACTCCTTCCCTCTGTGGGGAGCAGGGCAGGAGCAGAGGCTTCCCACGCATGGGGTGCTTTGCCTTGTGCTGGAGGTGCAGCTAGAGCAGGCTGTCACCAAGGCCAGCCTGGAAGGCGGTGGATGGTGGGATGTGGGTGCTGCAGAGCAAGAGGGGGGATGCAGGATGGGGGCTGTGGAGAAGGGCTGGGACACGGGATGAGTTCGCATCTCTAAGGCACAATCCACCTCGAGGCTGGGGCACAGGGATGGGCTGAAGCGCAAGACGGGGTGATTTTCTCAACTGGCATCTGTTGTTTTGGGGAGAACATCTGAAGCAGGACTCTCTGGTGGGTTGGGAATTCATGAAGCTCAGCCTGGCACGGACACAGCTCCAGGACTAGAAGTGCGGCCCGACAAGATGACTTTCCCATTGATTTCCATGTTTGAAAATATTCTTCAATGAAGAAAAATACCAAATTGGTCAGAAAACTGGGGAAATACCCAATTTTGAGAGCTCTCCACTCTCATTTTTGTGCTTTTCACTGTTATGTCCCAGTTATGGTGAACCTTATGAATTCCCCATCAGAGATGTTGGGGGAGACCCAACACTTCAGCAGCTGATGTTCAGACCCCATTTCCACCCCAAAATCCAACATTTCCAGATATTGGTTAATTACTGTGTTTACAATGCTTTTTTCTCTCACAGCTCCGCTTATCCTTATTACCTCCTTTGTTAATAATTTCACTTTCTTTCACTGCCACAGACCTACAGTCACTTACACATGTTTTTCTGCATATGAAGCCATGCCAGTGGTAAAAAAAACACCCCAAAACTGGATGCAATCTTAACTTTTAGTTCTTGCATTTACCCAACAAGTCACCCCCTCAAAGGACCCCAGTGGCTTCTTCATTCCTTTGTTCATTTTTAAAAAATACTGAATGACTTCTTTCAGATTCAATATTATTATTATTGTTATAATTATAATAATAATAATTATTATTATTTTGGTAAACAGTCTCCCAAACGGTGCGGTGAAAATATTAAAAACCCTCTCACCTCCCTCCCCCATTTTTTCCCAAATTAAAAAGAAGTACATTAATGTTGCATGTTATTTCAAGTGTTGTTCTTGTGCAACTGAACCGACCACCTGCCAAAGGAGCAATTGTTTTGTTGTTGCTGCTCAGTTAAAAAATAAAAGGAAAAGAAAAGAAAAGAAAGAGAGAAAGACAGAGAGTAAGATTTGTTTCCTGATATTTCCTCTTTTTGGATCTCGCAGTGCTCGGCTCCAGGAAAACGCTGTCGTTTTCCTCACGGGGACAGCAAAGCCCCACGGGGCTGCGCGGGGCGAGCACCTGCCCGCGCCCCACGGACCCTCCTCTCCTCATCCTTCCTTCTGTCCATCCATCCATCCATCCATCCATCTGTCCATCCATCCCCCAGAGCCATGGGCCCTGCCGCGGGCACTGGGCACGGGGGACGCGCCGTGGCCTGCCACCGTCCCCTCTGCAGACCGCTCAGTGGTTATTGCGATGAAACTGAAAACTATGAACGATACTAATTTCTCAAGCATTCCTATGGCACTTGCATTGTTCTGCATAATTTGAGCGGGTTTTAGGGGAAGAGATTAGAGGAGGAAAAAAAATACCCTTGGAAAAGTCAATGGAAGGACCAAGAGTCATATTTCCGACTCCCTCCTGTACGACCGCTGATCCAACGCTATTGTGGCTTGAAGCCTGTCGAACTCGTGCCTGTTGTCCGGGCTGAGGTCCTCCAGACCCCGACTGTCATCGTCTTCCTCTTCCTCGTCACGGCTCATGAAGGCCAGCTCGTTCTCGTAGCAGAAGGAGTTGGTGCTGGGCAGCAGGAATTTGTTCTCCACCAAGTCCTTGGCGCTGCAACGGGGCGTGGACGGGACCTCGTAGGTTTTGTGGAAGTGGGAATAGTCTACTTTGTACTGGTTTTTCTCCTCGAACAAGACAGGCTCGAAGCGGTGGCCCCACAGTATCTCACTGGCCAGGTAGGAGCTCCGAGCTTGCGTCGTCATGGCTGTGGCCTCTACCATGCCCTCCAGGATGACGACGATCTCAAAGTCATCCGTCTCCAAGTCCTGGCGGCTGATCCCGAACAAGGGACTGTCTTCGTTGATCTCGTGGAGAATGGTGATGGGAGACACCAAGAAAATACGGTCCAAGCCTTTATCAAACCCCACGTCAATGTCTATTTGGTCGAGCGGGATGTACTCCCCTTCCTCCGTGATCCTGGGTTTAATTAGCTGAGCTCGTACGTGGGCTTCTACTATGTGGCTTTTCCGTAGGTTCCCAACTCTCCACATCAAGCAGAGTTTTCCATCTCTCATCGCCACTACTGCGTTATGGCTGAAAAGTAATGTCTGGGCCCGTTTTTTGGGCCTGGCCATTTTTGCCATTATTGCACCAATCATGAAAGAGTCGATTATGCAGCCCACGATGGACTGAACCACCACCATGAAGACGGCGAGCGGACACTCCTCGGTCACGCAGCGGAAGCCGTACCCAATCGTCGTTTGGGTCTCGATGGAGAACAGAAAAGCAGCCACAAAGCCATTGACCTGCAGAACGCAAGGCTTGAAAGTATCGTCTCCACCCGGGTTTTCTAGGTCTCCATGAATGAGTGCAATTAGCCAGAAAATCAGCCCAAACAATAACCAGGACACCAGAAATGCCAGGGAAAAGAGCAAGAGCATATACCTCCAGCGGATATCAACGCACGTGGTGAACATGTCTGCAATGTACCTCTGTGGCTTGTCATCCATATTGGTGAACTCCACGTTGCACTGACCATTCTTCTTTACAAACCTGTTCCTGCATTTCCTCCTGGTGTGGATTTTCCCATTGCCAAAGCCGTTGATACCTGGCATGGTGGTCAACCTCAGCCCGTCTTCCTCGGAGGACACGATGCTGTAAGGGTTGACTCTGCCCGTTGTCATCCCTGAGCCAAGACCACAGTGAAGGTGAAGGGTCTTGCGACTCCCAGTGTCCCCCTGACCCACCCCTGCCCACCCCCCAAATTCTGCTGCGGTGGAAGAGAAGTCCCAAACTTCCACGTCTTGGCTGCCACGTCACCACGTGGATCCTGTGAGAGGCTCTGCAATGAGAAAACAAAGACAGGGCCGTTACCACTCATGGCACAGGGACCCAGAGGGCTGCTTGGCCAATGGTTCTGATGGGCTGCATGTTGAGTGAGAACCTCCTAGTCTGCTCTAATTCTCCCCTCCTTAGCTGGGCTGATCTCAAAAAGGAGAGGAGAAGGTGTTAGAGTTTCTTCTTTCATGATACCAAGTGAGTGAACAAATCTTACTGCATTTGTGGGACACTCAACAACTCCAGCAGATGAAAAACCTGGAGTTTCTCCACTTCACTTTTCCCACGAGCTCTGCCGCCAGAGGGGAAAGCAGAGAGGCCGAGCTGTTCTCCTTGGGACACAGATACCAATAAAGGTACTCCTGGAAGCGGCTCCATCAGTTCACATTGCCCGTGCCAGATGGATCGACGCCCAGCCCAGCATCGACCTCAGAGCACCAGCTCTTCTGGGCTCGAGGGAAAGCACAGGGAGATGTGGATTTAACCTCTGTCCCCCTGCCCGGGGATGGGAGAGGACAGCCTCTGCTTGCATCTGGTTGGAGAAGGTCCCAGGAAGGTGCTTGCTCAGGGCAGATGTCCTGAGGAGCAACTTTCCCAATGCATCCATTGGGACATGGAGCCACCCACGGTCACAGATGGGTTTAGCTGGCCAAGTCTCATGAAGGAACAACTGCCACTGGGGAATGAGGAGCTGTTTTGGTCCCTTCTGGAAGGATCAGCTGCAGGGTCAAAGACCTACACTCAGCTTTGCTTGGGAGAGAGGTGACGTGGGCATGGGAGAGGTGGCCCAAGCCTGATGGGCTCCCTGGTGGAGGTGAGCACGTGGTGGGTGAACCCACTCTGCCAGGCAGCTGAACCCACCCAGCCCCTTGTGGGGCTGCATCAGGGAGTGGACAGGATTGTGGAGAAGCCATGTGGCACATCCCAAGCACCTCAAAGAGATGGCACCACAGGAACTCTCCACACACAACCCCCTGGCACAGGTCTCCTTATTATTTAGGTGGGACATGCCACTGAGGCTGGAACCACCTCGCTGGTAGTGAGACCTGCACAGGGCAGTGGTGTGGTGGTGGGGTGGGTGCAGAGCCCCCGTGATAGCCCAGCTGGCGCCTGGAGCACAGCGAAGCCGCCGGGCCGGACACGCTGTGCCCGATCCGCCGGCCCATCGATGCGGTCGATTCCTGCAATCAGCTCCAGCGCCCGGGGACACGCTGGGACAAACACACCCTTTCCATTACAGTGTCCAGGGCCAGGCAGTGCCAGGGAGCACTGCCAGGCACAACCTGCCTGGGGCTGCATCATCCCGGCTCGCAATGATACCCTGCCCTGCCTTTTACTGAAATGCTCCCCAAATCCAGCCCGAGAATCAAGAAACCCTCCAGAAGCACTGCACCACAAGCAGCAGCACTAAAGCCTGCCCAAACCTCCCAGCTGCTGGACACAGACCCGTGTGTGCCATCACCTTATACCAAACAACACGTTTCCCCCTGCTGCAATCCAAGCACAACCATTTGTATGCCCAGAGTTATTTTTGAGAGCCACAGGGGTTTGCTGGCATCTCAGCAGACCAAGGGATTGCTCACACGTGGAATGAGAGCCTCTCCCGCTTTGGAGCCACAGGAGAGAGTAAAATAGGCACAAACAGTTAATATTAATAGTAAATATTTACTATCTTATAGTCCCTGGAAGTGAAACAGGACCAAAACAGCCTTGCGGAGCTGATCTATCAGGCCAGCTGCCCAGCACCAACCTGGTCTCCAACCCCAAGTCTTCCTCCTGTCCATTCTGGCTGCATCCATTAATGTTTCTCTCTCTCTTTTTTTTTTTTTTTTTTTTTTTTTTTTTTTTTTTTTTTTTTTTTTTTTTTTGAGATATGAGCATTTTGGACCAGAAATGGCTGGTCCTCTATCACCCCTCTGGCTCACCCCAGGGCAATACACCAAATGCTTTTGCCACAGGAGGAATTTAGAGTTGGGGTTTTAAAAATTAATTCTAGATACATTTGAGAAGTGAAAAAAATGCAATGAGCCCCCAGTGACCTGTGAGAGGATTAGCTGGGGTCTGGATTAACTGTGCTGGAAGAGGAGCTGTGCCCGGGTGACTGTGAAGGCAGCAGAGCTGCCCTCACCTGGGGTGGGGTTTCCAGGGATCCTCAAGCTCCTCGTCCCCACCACTGTTCCCCCCTGCCTGCACCCCTTTCCCCATCCCTCCTTCCTTCTCTCCTTTTCCTTTTCCTTTTCCTTTTCCTTTTCCTTTTCCTTTTCCTTTTCCTTTTCCTTTTCCTTTTCCTTTTCCTTTTCCTTTTCCTTTTCCTTNTTTCCTTTTCCTTTTCCTTTTCCTTTTCCTTTTCCTTTTCCTTTTCCTTTTCCTTTTCCTTTTCCTTTTCCTTTTCCTTTTCCTTTTCCTTTTCCCTTTCCCTTTCCCTTTCCCTTTCCCTGCCCTTCCTTCCTCCCCTTCCTGCCCTTCTTTTCCCTTCTTTCCCCTTCTTTCCCCTTCTTTTCCCTTCTTTTCCCTTCTTTCCCCCCTTTCCCTTTCCATGTCACACAGAGTTTCAGGGACCCCTCTGCTGCAGGGTGATGCCAGGACAGATGCCAGGAGCCATCTCTGTTTTGGGTACAGGGACGTTCTTGTGACACAGCCCCTTTCCCATCTGGGACCCCCCATTCCCGGCCCGAGCCCTTCCCGGAGCTCCAGCGGGGTCAGGCCCCCCCGTCCCGGGCCGGCAGCGGCAGCCTGGGGAGACGGCAGCTAAATAAAGGCAGCAAAGTGGATGTGCCGGAGCTGGCGGCCGCCTGCGGCTCGTCCTTTATTTAGCACAGTTTTGTTTGGAAATACACTTTCTCGAGTTCGCTGAAAGCTGAATTTCTGGTTTGGTTTCAATCGGAAGGCTGGAGCCCCACGCTGCCGCTGCGGGAGGCTCAGCTGGGAGAGGACTCACGCAAACACGCGGAAAGTGGCTGGACGGGCTCTGACAGGGGACCAGCTGGGGACAACACCCCCGTGGTCACTCTGCATCTCCTTGGCTCAGGAGGGCATCCTCCAGCACCTCCCCACAGCCAGGAGTGCCCCCGGGGGCTGCCACAGGTGTTCCTGGGGGTACGTCCCCCTTCCTGCCGGCTTCCCAGGAGTGTCACAGACCTGCCTATCGCAGTTTTCCCTCACAGGAACAAAATCAAAACTCCCCTGGCAATCCGTGCCCGTTAATCCCATTCCAGCTCAGGCAAACCCACGCTGGGTGTGGGGCAGGGCCGGGGCCATCCCCTGCTGCTGGTGCCACGCGTCCCGCGCGGAGCCAACAGCGTTCAAGTTGTTAACTTTAGTTAAAGTCGGAAACAAAACAGGCTCATAATACGAATTTCGGGAATGAGCGGCCCCGGCTCCCCGCGGCTCCGAAGGCAGAAGTGCCCCAGCTAATGAGCTGACGAGGGAGGCAAAAAACTCCTGCCACGAAACTGCAGCGACCCAGCTCCCACCGCGGAGCGCATCCCCGCCGAGAGCCCGAGCGTCTCCAGCAATCTGCCAACTGCGCAGTTCATTTTATTTATTTTACTTTTTTTCTTAAAAGGGGATGTTAAATGTTACGACAATATTCGGAACAGCCGGCGCGCTGGGAAAATGTGCTGCGTGCTGGGGAAGTCATTAGTTAGAGCCGGCTGGATGTGTCAATGCGATTTATCATCGCACCTTTCCCTGCGCCGCACCCTCCCAGCGTGGATTTTCTCGTGGGAGTGTGCAACAACCGGGCTGCGCTCAGGTGGGGGCTCGGAGGAGTCGAGTTTGGGGATGATGAGTTTGCAGGTGCCCTGTTGGCGGGGCAGCGGAGGTGACCAGCCGGGAGGGGACGGCGTGAGCGGGTCACCCTCGCTGCTGCTGCCTGCCCTGAGCCGCAGATAACGCTGCCCCGCGCCGGGAGATAACGCCGCTATCTCCCGCGGCGATGCCCTTCATGCCCCAGCAGCAGGACAGCAATGTCAGCGGCCAGGAGGGAGCTCAGTGTGCGGCACAGCCCAGAGAGCCCGAACATCCCCCGCTCACCCCGTCCCCACAAAGCCACCCCTCACCGGGGAGCCACAAACCCAGGGGAGGCAGCTCAGGGGCTGGAGGCTCCCCGAGGCATTCCGGGGCGGCAGCAATGCCTGAATAATTCCCTCCTACAATGCCGTGTCTTTGAGTACTGCCAAAAAATTAAGGGTCAGCACAAGGCAGGGCACGCCAGGACATATAAAGAATAAATGAGAATAAATTGCCCCCTGTTTCCCCTCCGCTGCCAGGGAGGACAGGAAAGAAGTTCCCACCATAGTGCATCCCTAATGAGAAAAACTGCTCCGTTTTGGCAGGGACACGGGAGGAAAACAGCCACGGGCACACACCCCTCCCCAGGACCCCCATGTGCTCCCTATTTCCAACAAGCAGTTGAGAAATCACTGTCTGCAAGCCTTGGTGGCACATGCAGAAGGGAAACTGAGGCATGTGGGACAAGGAAGGCCCTTGGTGGCAGGACTGGAGGTGACAGGGTGCCTGGAGAGGTGCTGGCTCATCCCTGTCCCCCTGAGCCACGTGTGGATGCCACGGGTACAGGAGCAGAAAAAAGGGCCACGTGCACATTCGTCACCACTGGGGCCAGGTGGCCTCTGTGGGGTGATGGGCTTGTGCTTAAGCACCCTAAAACTCCTGCTAAATGTGCCCTGGATCAGAGAGATCCTGGGAAAGAGCCTTTCAGAGGCTGCACTGAGCATCTCTTTAGCCCCAAACTCCATGGTGTGATGTGGGGACTGAGCACCCCAGTCCAGCTCCAGCACCCATCCCTGTTCCAGCACCCATCCCTGTTCCAGCACCCATCCCTGTTCCAGCACCCACCCTGCAGTGACAGGGCCCCGGGGCTCTACATCCACCCCTCTGCCTCCCACTGCTCCTGGGTGCTGGACACTGCCAGAGGGATCTGGGGATGCCAGAACCCCCACAGCCACCCCAAGCCACAGCCAGCCCTGCCGTCCCTCCAGGTCT